TTTGTGTGTGTGTGTGTGTGTGTGTGTGTGTGTGTGTGTGTGTGTGTGTGTGTGTGTGTGTGTGTGTGTGTGTGTGTGTGTGTGTGTGTGTGTGTGTGTGTGTGTGTCTGTTGTGTGTGTGTGTGTGTGTGTGTGTGTGTGTGTGTGTGTGTGTGTGTGTGTGTGTGTGTGTGTGTGTGTGTGTGTGTGTGTGTGTGTGTGTGTGTGTGTGTGTGTGTGTGTGTGTGTGTGTGTGTGTGTGTGTGTGTGTGTGTGTGTGTGTGTGTGTGTGTGTGTGTGTGTGTGTGTGTGTGTGTGTGTGTGTGTGTGTGTGTGTGTGTGTGTGTGTGTGTGTGTGTGTGTGTGTGTGTGTGTGTGTGTGTGTGTGTGTGTGTGTGTGTGTGTGTGTGTGTGTGTGTGTGTGTGTGTGTGTGTGTGTGTGTGTGTGTGTGTGTGTGTGTGTGTGTGTGTGTGTGTGTGTGTTGTGTGTGTGTGTGTGTGTGTGTGTGTGTGTGTGTGTGTGTGTGTGTGTGTGTGTGTGTGTGTGTGTGTGTGTGTGTGTGTGTGTGTGTGTGTGTGTGTGTGTGTGTGTGTGTGTGTGTGTGTGTGTGTGTGTGTGTGTGTGTGTGTGTGTGTGTGTGTGTGTGTGTGTGTGTGTGTGTGTGTGTGTGTGTGTGTGTGTGTGTGTGTGTGTGTGTGTGTGTGTGTGTGTGTGTGTGTGTGTGTGTGTGTGTGTGTGTGTGTGTGTGTGTGTGTGTGTGTGTGTGTGTGTGTGTGTGTGTGTGTGTGTGTGTGTGTGTGTGTGTGTGTGTGTGTGTGTGTGTGTGTGTGTGTGTGTGTGTGTGTGTGTGTGTGTGTGTGTGTGTGTGTGTGTGTGTGTGTGTGTGTGTGTGTGTGTGTGTGTGTGTGTGTGTGTGTGTGTGTGTGTGTGTGTGTGTGTGTGTGTGTGTGTGTGTGTGTGTGTGTGTGTGTGTGTGTGTGTGTGTGTGTGTGTGTGTGTGTGTGTGTGTGTGTGTGTGTGTGTGTGTGTGTGTGTGTGTGTGTGTGTGTGTGTGTGTGTGTGTGTGTGTGTGTGTGTGTGTGTGTGTGTGTGTGTGTGTGTGTGTGTGTGTGTGTGTGTGTGTGTGTGTGTGTGTGTGTGTGTGTGTGTGTGTGTGTGTGTGTGTGTGTGTGTGTGTGTGTGTGTGTGTGTGTGTGTGTGTGTGTGTGTGTGTGTGTGTGTGTGTGTGTGTGTGTGTGTGTGTGTGTGTGTGTGTGTGTGTGTGTGTGTGTGTGTGTGTGTGTGTGTGTGTGTGTGTGTGTGTGTGTGTGTGTGTGTGTGTGTGTGTGTGTGTGTGTGTGTGTGTGTGTGTGTGTGTGTGTGTGTGTGTGTGTGTGTGTGTGTGTGTGTGTGTGTGTGTGTGTGTGTGTGTGTGTGTGTGTGTGTGTGTGTGTGTGTGTGTGTGTGTGTGTGTGTGTGTGTGTGTGTGTGTGTGTGTGTGTGTGTGTGTGTGTGTGTGTGTGTGTGTGTGTGTGTGTGTGTGTGTGTGTGTGTGTGTGTGTGTGTGTGTGTGTGTGTGTGTGTGTGTGTGTGTGTGTGTGTGTGTGTGTGTGTGTGTGTGTGTGTGTGTGTGTGTGTGTGTGTGTGTGTGTGTGTGTGTGTGTGTGTGTGTGTGTTGTGTGTGTGTGTGTGTGTGTGTGTGTGTGTGTGTGTGTGTGTGTGTGTGTGTGTGTGTGTGTGTGTGTGTGTGTGTGTGTGTGTGTGTGTGTGTGTGTGTGTGTGTGTGTGTGTGTGTGCATTTCATGAATGTTCATGTGTTTCTGTGAAAGCGCAGGAAAGTTCGTGAGTTTCGGTAAGTTCGCGTGAGTTCGCGATTGTTTATGAATTTGCGTATGTGCTCATTGTTTCTCATGTGTTTTAGTGAGTTTTTATTAGAGTTCATGAGAGTTCATATTTTCTGTGCGTTTTAGAGAGTTGCGAGTGTTTTGCCACGTTGACTAAGTCGCGCTGGTCAAGGTCAACCGCGCGCGAAGGTCTGGACCCGCGCGTGGGGTTCTGACACACGCGTGTGGCCTCTCAGGGCTCGCGCGTGTGCTTCGGAACTGTTACGAGCGTGGCAGGGCCCACGATCGCATCAAGACAGGGCAAACTACTGCCCTGTCTCGCGCCAGGATAGCGCACGATCGCATACGCGATCGTCCTGTCCTGCATGACCGAGAAATATCTCGGTCATGCTGGCTGGCACGTGGGGAACTCGGGATTTACAGTTGAAAAACTGTATCCCGTGTTGACTTGGCAAACATGAGGTTTCGCCAGAAAGTCACGCCACATTGCGTGATCATTTCGACAAGGTACAAAACGGTAAATTCCGTTTTGCAACGGGAAAACGGTTTTCCCACACGAGGCTTCATGAATGTTAACGGGAAATCATGAGTGCTCGCGAAGGGAGTCAGCAGGGGCATTTGGATGAAGTGTCATTTGAAATCAGTTATTCTAATGAAGCGGATCAAGCCAAATGCAGTTGAGTTTGACAACCGTTTTACCAAGACAACATGGCGAAGTCCTAGATTACAGTTGTATAACTGTTTAATGTTTGCCTTGTCAAAACCTATATTTGTAACTGCCTGCAGCAGGAATATGTGCAGAATACAACCTGCAGGTGTACACATGCAAAATAATGAAAAGCAAGCAACAGCAGGTAATGCAGGCGGGCTGACACTAGCTGGTCACCCCCTCCATCTCCTCACCCTCCTCCTTCCCCTCCCCCACACTGCTGCAGGAGCAGCAGAGAAGGGGGGAAGAGAGGAGAGATGGAGGGACGGCTGCTTGTTGCCTCACACCCGCCACCCCGGTACCACTCCCCCTGCTCCCCCACACCCTCACACCCTCCCCCCCAGCGGCAGCTGCAGCGGTGGGACTGAAAGGAGGAGGAGGGGAAGGGAAAGAGTCGACCCAACACTCCAACACCCGCCACCCCCATACCCTCCTCCCCACGGCTGCAGGGAGACAAAAGAGGAGGGGGTGGGCGGGAAGAAAGCTGCAGAGCGGCTAAACGGTGTCGGCGCTGATAGGTCAGGGGCGGCTTCAGGGAGAGCAGGGGCGGAAAGGCCCGTCGCGTGCCACGGGGCGCACGACGGGTAAGTTCAAGTGAAAGGGCCCGATCGTGTGCCTCGGGGCGCACGACGAGCAGGGCACCGTCGCGTGCCACGGGGCGCACGACGGGCAGGTTAAGGGCACCGTCGCGTGCCACGGGGCGCGCGACGGGCAGAGAAGGCGTCACACGCCGACCGGGGGCGGGACAGGGAAAAATCGCCACGCGCCCTAGGCGCGCGACCGGAAAATCGTAGCAGCGGAAACGTGAGGCGGGCGCACAGGCCAGAACGAACGTCGTTCTGATACCATGTCAGAATCCCAACCACTAGACCATTGGGATAAAAGGGCTTGTTTCAGTAGCGGGTCAGTGCGCCCATAACCCCCCAGGCGAACGCGCCTGTAACCCTCTCCAGGATCAATCGGGCATCCACAGTGCAGATCTACTGACACCCCCCCACACTAGGAGGCCCAGGACTAAGCACAGCGGCAACGGCCTACATGTGCATACACCGGGAATCGAACCCGAGACCGCTCTGATACCATGTCAGAATCCCAACCACTAGACCATTGGGATAAAAAGGCTTAGTTCAGTAGCGGGTCAGTGCGCCCATAAGCGAACGCGCCTGTAACCCTCTCCAGGATCAATCGGGCATCCACAGTGCAGATCTACTGACACCCCCCCACACTAGGAGGCCCAGGACTAAGCACAGCGGCAACGGCCTACATGTGCATACACCGGGAATCGAACCCGAGACCGCTCTGATACCATGTCAGAATCCCAACCACTAGACCATTGGGATAAAAGGGCTTGTTTCAGTAGCGGGTCAGTGCGCCCATAACCCCCCAGGCAACCGCGCCTGTAACCCCCCCTAGGATCGATCGGGGATCTCATAGTGTAGCTCTACTGACACCCCCCGGTGTATGCACATGTAGGCCGTTGCCGCTGTGCTTAGTCCTGGGCCTCCTAGTGTGGGGGGGTGTCAGTAGATCTGCATCCACAGTGTGGCAACTATTTTCGACATGCCTTGTGTCTCCTTTGCTCGTCCATTAGACTTTCTATAAATGTGTGCTTGTATTTGATTGTAATCAACCTTTTGGTGCAACCCTTTCAAGTGAATGTTTTCTCTATCGACGTATTGACGCGAGGAGAAATTTCTGCATACGAGTCAATCAGTCGTTATTGCTTCCGCACATGAGTTTGGGAATGCTCTAAGAGCACACGGCGGTTTTCATACTTAGGGAATCCCTCTACAAACACGGACCCTTGGATAGGGGCTGGTTTTACCAGGCACCCAAGGACCCTTGGAGGTGACCCCGTGGGGACTACCTAGTGTGATTTAAAGGTGTGCTAAGTGCATCTAGATCCCATATAGCTGTCAACAACACTCTCATAAAAAAATTACCCCAGCACATCAGTGTAGACCCAAAATTTCACCCTTGTATTCAGTACAGAAGGGTAAATTACACTGCAAACCTGAGCCCTGGGGTCCGGGTAGATGTGCTCTGGTAAAAGATTTAACGAGTGTCATTAATAGTATCCCAAATTGATGTTACTTTTTTTTTTAATTTATCAAAGAGGTATGGAAAGGGTGAATTAGCATTGGGTGGGAGAGCAATTTGCATCCAATTAGCAAGTCCCCCAATCCTTGCATAGAATGTGAGATTAAGCTGCAGTAATTATCTCTAAACAATCTGAATATCGCAAGAGTCTCACGGCTTCATGCTATATTTCTTTACACTTCTTTCTCGCCACTGTCAGGCTGCTGAATTTACGTTTGACCAATGGAGCCGGTGGTGCCACCTTGCAAACGCACTGTGCCCTCCATATTAAAAAGCAAACAGTAAATTGAATAATTTAACAATAAATAAACTAAAAAATAAATGGACAGTGTAAGTACAAACCAGATTATCTAGTGACGCAGCAGATACCATGACTGTGTGATTGAAGTTACAAACCATGAAGTGTTGAGAGCACCTGCAGCAGCACTCTCTCATTGAGTGGCTTTTGCACGGCACCATCCATGCCAACCTCTGCTGCATGGGCGGCAACAGTGCTGTCCACATCTGCTGACATGGCCACCACATGAACGCGCTGCTGCCGCTGCCAGCCCCCAAACGCACCCCCCACCCCACTCTCCCCCACCATGGGCATGCACTGCACGTCTTGAGCCCCCTGCCCCTTGTGCACAGCCAGTGCTCCCCGCTCCCCCTGTGCCCCCTGCCCTCCTTGCACCCCTCTCTGAGCATTGTGAGCAGCAACCTCGAGAGCGCGCAGGCCGGCGGTGGTCTGGAAGCCATCGAGGCCGGGCATGAGGAGGTCCATGAGCACGAGGTGGAAGGAGTGGGTTGCCTGCAGCAGGCGCAGCGCCGCCTCGCCCGACTCTGCCAGCGCCACCTCCGCCCCGTACCGCGCCAGCGTGCTCGCTGCCACCACCTGGTGGATAGAGAGGGTACAGATAGGGATGCAGAGGGGCTGAGAATGGTTGATCAGATTGTCGTCCACCACCTGGCCACCACAAGGGGGTAGAGGGGGTGGTGAGGGGTGATAACGGTGCGATGGTTGATCAAGTTGTCGTCCACCACCTGGTAGCACAGGGGGGTAGAGGGGGGGTGGTGAGAGGGTGAAAATGGTGGGACGGTTGATGGCGTTATGGTCCATCACCTGGTGCACATAGGGGGTACAGGGGAGGGGGGGAGAGAGGGGATGAGAATGGAGGGACGACGATGGCGTTGTGGTCCACCACCTGGTGCATGGTGCAGGGGAGGATTGAGAGGGAGAGCTTGAGAGAGGGGTTGACAACGGAGGCGTGGTGGATGGAGCTGTGGTCCACCACGTGCCTGCACAGGCAGAGCGTGAGGAATGTAGGGAGGTGGACAGGGGATGAGCATGGAGGCACGGAGATGGCATGTGAAAAGGGAGAGGCGAAGGGCATACAAGCAGGGTGGAGAGGGGGTGAGAGCAGAGGAGATTGAAGGCGGAGAGGGAGACGGCCTGTGTCTCCTGCTTTGACGTGCATGAATCAGCTGCGTGGGGGGACATGAGGAAGAGCAGTCACACACAGGGGTGGTTGGGGAGGATCAGCAAGTGAGCACCACCAATCTTGCCATCAGCCATGTGTGGGAGGGCAGAGAACTGTTGCTTTGTAACGACGGGACAAGGAGAAGAGGGGTTGGGTTGTGGGGAGTGTGGTGAGGGATGCAGATACAACTGAGGTCAGTGTGAATCAATGCATGGAGAGAATCGGTGCATGGAGAGAATCGGTGCATGGAGAGAATCGGTGCATGGAGAGAATCGGTGCCTGAAACAACCCTCACAAGCACACGAGAGTCCTTCCGGTTTAAGCTCTGCATCTCACCAGAATTGCCTTGCCCTGCAACAACTCCTTCAAACCATCCCTCGCACTCTTCGTCCCCACTGCTCTTGAGGCAGCTGCTTCGTCGTCCGCACAGATCGCCTGCGGCCCCGAAACATTGGCGCTGCCGGAACTGAAGCTACCGCACACAGCTGCGGCAGCAGTGGCAGCAGCAACAGGCATGGGCAGCGCGACGTGCAGGGTGGTGCCGTGACCCTCTGTGCTGAGCAGCCCTATGCTGCCCCCCATCAGCGATACCTGCCATGGGGGTGTGGGATTGTGTCACAGCAGACGAATTATTGTGGATGATTGTAAATGAAAGTCAGTGTGGCAGTGCTGTGAGAGGAAGTTTGAAGTAAAAATCACTCCGAGAGTTAACAAGTGCATGAAAGGACGACAAGAAAGCACCTGGTTGAACTGTCCACAGAATGACTCACCAGCTGCTGACACAAGTGCAGGCTTATGCCGCTGCCTCCATGTGCACGGGTCTGATGGGTAGGTGTTGTGAGAAGCACGAGAATGCAATGGTCGGTGGACTGAGAAAGTCGCACGTGGATAGATGCTAGGCAGATTAAGCTGGCGACTGTGTGCCTCCTTATTGCGGCTACTTGAAAAATGGATGCTTTTTCGGAGTCAAATCCTCGGATAATCAAATCGAGTGCATGGTTCACCTTAATCAGGTGTATGGCATGAGGTGGGTTGCATGCGGCGCAGGGCTCACCTGCATGAGGGGCAGGGCTCACCTGCATGAACGCCTGAAACACGTCGCGCTGCTCCTCCTCTGCGATGCCACACCCCGTGTCCTCACATGTCACCAGCACCACACACCGCCTGCCACCCCCCCCCTCCTCCTCCGTGCCCTCCTCTCTGCCCCGCCCATGCCACCACCTCTCAACTGCTCCCCTCCACCAGCCCATACCACCAACCCCTGGTGATGCCCTCTCTGCTGCATTTACAGCATGCCCACCACGCGCTCTTGTTCCCCGCAAACCAGTGCATGACCCCATGCCCCCACGCTCACCCTCCTCATCTCCCGTACCCCATGATGCAGCACTACCCTTGCCTTCGCTCAACTCACTGCAAACCCTCTCGCCTCTGCCTTGGCTTCCTACCTCACCACCGACCATTCTCCACCGTTCTCAACCCCATCCCGGTGACGGGTCACCCCCTTTAGTTCCTCCTGGCCTCTCGCCGGCCCCATCTCCCCCGCTTTGCTGATACGCACCACTTTGTTCCCTAGCGCTTGCCCTCATCGGGTTTCCTTCCCTTTCCTCCCCATCCTCCCTCTCCTCCCCCTCCTCCCTCTCATCCTTCTCCTTACTCTCCCCCCTCTGCTCACTTTCCTGCTCCTGCCCCCCCTCGTCAACGGGGGGCATGCGCCAGTAGCACCCGAGGCACTGCGCGGACAAGCCCCTCTGGAACACCCGTTTATTGCATGCGCCCGTCACCGCCCTCGCCAGCCCTCGCTGCCCCACCTGCTCCCAGAAGGACATCCTAAGCAGAGGCTCTCCCACTTCGTTCCCATGCACTCCCGCACTGGCAGCAGCGGCGGTGGCAACAGCAGCAAAGGCAGAATCGGCATTCGTAGCAGCAGCGGTGGTAGCCGCAGCAGCAGCGGCAGGCGAGGAGCAGCCGGAATTTTCTTCGGCAAGGAGGCAGCCGAGGGAGAGCAGGTGGGTGGGGATGTGGGTGTCGGGGGGAAGGCACTGCAGCCGCACACACACGCCTCCGCTGGCCGTGAACTTGATGGCGTTGTCTGGGCGGTGGGCATGTGCAGCACGTGGAGACGGGGGAGGATTAGCACGTACAGATGAGCATCCCTAAGGGTTTGAAACGCGACTTCAGTGCAGCCCATTCATCTTCACGATTTCCCAACTCAATTCAGCTCAATTCAGCTCAATTCAGCTCAATCCAGTCAGCTCAATTCAGCTCAATTCAGCTCAATCCAGCTCAATCCAGCTGAATTCAGCTCAATTCAGCTCAATTCAGCCCAATTCAGCTCAATTCAGCTCAATCCAGTCAGCTCAATTCAGCTCAATTCAGCTCAATCCAGCTGAATTCAGCTCAATTCAGCTCAATTCAGCCCAATTCAGCCCACTTCAGCCCAATTCAGCTCAATTCACTCAATTCAGCTTAATTCAGCTCAATTCAGCTTAATCCAGCTCAGTTTAGCCCAAAACAAAATGAACGTGACGGCGGGGAGAAAAAACAGTCCAGTCCATTCATCTAAAAAATCTCCCAGCTCAATTCAGTCCATTCATCCCTGCAATGAATCTGCTCGTCCCATATCAACCAACTCACCCGCCTCACCACCTATGGCGCGCGAAACACGAGCCGGGTAGCTGCCTGCCGGCTCGGCTCGGTGCACCTCAAAACAAGCAGGCTCGGCTTGGAGCTACGCTCATGCCTAGTGTGTGACTGACCCTCGACTGGGAACCCTGTGAATTAATTTAAAATAGGGTGTGAACGCTTTGCGTCTGGGTGTTCCGGCCTCATCCATACCCGTTGGCTAGGCAGATCAGCACGAGAGGCTCATGTGGAGGCGAGTCGAGTCGACTCATCGTACAGGTAGCATTACATTAGTCAACCGACTGAAGCAAACTCTAGTGGCTCGTTGCACGCCAGTTCCTCCCAATAGCAAAGTCGAAGCTGACGTGCACGTCAGAATACTCGCCTCGAGACAGCCGAACCAAGGCAAGATGTGGACTCTCGAGACGGGAAAAGCGTCGACCACTCCACTCCACTCTACGCGGGCTTGACTAAACTCGCCTCATCCTCATTTGCACCCAAGCCCATCCAACCTCACCCACATCACATCCAACGTCACCCACATCACGTCCAGTGCCAGTGATTAGATTCGACTCATCTTCATCTACTCACCGACTATTCTGTCGACCACTTGCTGCTGCAGGCGAAGGTAGTCCCCCACCAGCACACCGGGCACATCCCCATCCACACGCCATGTCACTGAACACGCACTCACATGCACACGCAGAAAAATCCAGGCCATTAGAAAAGCAAGAATCCACCAATTGCATGAAGAGAAACGCAAGCAGAATCAGGCAATCATGACATGGGCATAAACAACAGGCATCCTTTGTTGAAGGATCAAAAGGAAAAAGGGGAGCCAGCTCTTCGGAGAGAAAAGAAAGCAGGAACTGGTAATCAAGACACGGGTTGGAGAAAGGTGAATCAGGGTGATTACATTCGAGGCCGCGCTCCTGAGCAGCCTGCTCGTGTGGGAGCAGCACGTCACGCAGCCAGGGGCGGAGGGCAAAGGGCAGGCTCTCCAGGTGCAGGCGGCCGGCCTCCGCCTTGCACACGTCCAGCACGGCGTTGACGAGCCTCAGGATGCGCTCCGCCTCCTCCACTGCTGCCCCCACGTCCCCCCTCTGCCCCCCGTCCAGCCCTCCTTCGTCCAGCTGCTTGAGCATGCCTGCCGGGTGGTTGTGGTTGGCACAGCGAGTGGGAATTCGCAGAGATTGGAATGTGAAGAGTACAACACAGTGATTGTGCAATCATCAGCTGAGAAAGGTTTGTAACAATCTCTACCTCACCCCAACAGGGACAGTGCCGCAGGAGCAGGGCAACATTGAAAGGTAAATAACAAAAACAAAAGTACTTGTACGATCTGAGACTTATGCACCTCATTGCCACTAACCTTCCATGCCATTGCAGAAGTACTTGTACTTATGCACCTCATTGCCACGAACCTTCCATGCCATTGATGGGGGTGCGCAGCTCATGCGCTGTGCTGGCAATGAAGGCACTCTTGTTGCGCTCCGCCACCTCCGCGCTCTCCTTCAGCCTCTCCACAGCAGCCGTCTTCTCGCGCAGCCTGCGCGTGTTGATTGTCACGCTCACGGCAATGCCGGCCAGCAGCGCCGCCACCACCACGATGATCACCCCCAGGAACACAGCAGTCATGCTGCGGGCTTCGTCCGAGCCCTGAAAGCTGGGGGAGGGGATAGGGGAGGCGCATTGGGGGAAGAAGGAGCCGATGGCATGGAATGGAACAGAGGCTGGTAGCCGATGCTGTGGGCTTCATCTGAGCCCTGGAAGCTGGGAGGCACAATTTTGAGACGTCTCAAAAGTCGTTAGGGAAGGCACATTGGGGGCCGACGGAGCCGATGGAATGGAATGGAATGGAATGGAGGTTGACAGTACAGTGCAGCGTAGGCCGAGATTGGCTTTAAGTTGAATACGATATTATTGAACTAGAGCAGCGCACGTCAAGAAGCGAAGGAAGGGCAGCGCTTGCCATGGAAGCAAGGCAACTGACCGGCACCATAGCTGATATGTTCTTAATGAGTCAGTGAGGTTGATCTGGTGCACCACCATAGTCAGTGAGGTTGATCTGGTGCACCACCATAGTCAGTGAGGTTGATCTGGTGCACCACCATAGTCAGTGAGGTTGATCTGGTGCACCACCATAGTCAGTGAGGTTGATCTGGTGCACCACCATAGTCAGTGAGGTTGATCTGGTGCACCACCATAGTCAGTGAGGTTGATCTGGTGCACCACCATAGTCAGTGAGGTTGATCTGGTGCACCACCATAGTCAGTGAGGTTGATCTGGTGCACCACCATAGTCAGTGAGGTTGATCTGGTGCACCACCTTGTGTCTCTGCGGCTGCAGCATGGTCTCGTTGGACGGCGGAATGAGCTTGGCCACTTGCATGAAGCTGCCTTGAGGCAAGTCCCCCACCCCGTACAGCAGGCGCGGGCCCAGCGGGGTGGAGGAGTTGGGGAGAAGATCCGTGGGGGTGACGTCATACACCTCCAGAGAATAGTCCGCGCCTGCAGCAACGGAAGGGGGATACTGTGATTTGGTGAGAGCGTGGAGGTATAGTTGATTTATTATGTGAACAGCACCCTGCAGCAAGCATGTGGGGGGTACAGCAGCACGCAGGCAGACTGGCCGTCAGAGAACTGAAGGGGAGTACTCCCTCTCTGCCTGCGCAGGGGCAACAAAAGGCTGCAACAACGATGAAGACGGCAAGGCTGTGTGCCGTGTGCCATTGTGGTCCCGAGGTGACTGTTGGGTCGACTCAGAAGTCACTCGGTTGATCAGCCGGCGTACCTAGGCGGAGCACTTGAAGAAAGATTAAGTTGGCGAGGCGGTTGAAGTCGAGTTTCGAGGCGGTTGAAGTCGAGTTTCGAGGCGGTTGAAGTCGAGTTTCGAGGCGGTTGAAGTCGAGTTTCGAGGCGGTTGAAGTCGAGTTTCGAGGCGGTTGAAGTCGAGTTGCGAGGCGGTTGAAGTCGAGTTGCGAGGCGGTTGAAGTCGAGTTGCGAGGCGGTTGAAGTCGAGTTGCGAGGCGGTTGAAGTCGAGTTTCGAGGCGGTTGAAGTTGAGTTTCGAGGCGGTTGAAGTCGAGTTTCGAGGCGGTTGAAGTCGAGTTTCGAGGCGGTTGAAGTCGAGTTTCGAGGCGGTTGAAGTCGAGTTTCGAGGCGGTTGAAGTCGAGTTTCGAGGCGGTTGAAGTCGAGTTTCGAGGCGGTTGAAGTCGAGTTTCGAGGCGGTTGAAGTCGAGTTTCGAGGCGGTTGAAGTCGAGTTTCGAGGCGGTTGAAGTCGAGTTTCGAGGCGGTTGAAGTCGAGTTTCGAGGCGGTTGAAGTCGAGTTTCGAGGCGGTTGAAGTCGAGTTTCGAGGCGGTTGAAGTCGAGTTTCGAGGCGGTTGAAGTCGAGTTTCGAGGCGGTTGAAGTCGAGTTTCGAGGCGGTTGAAGTCGAGTTTCGAGGCGGTTGAAGTCGAGTTTCGAGGCGGTTGAAGTCGAGTTTCGAGGCGGTTGAAGTCGAGTTTCGAGGCGGTTGAAGTCGAGTTTCGAGGCGGTTGAAGTCGAGTTTCGAGGCGGTTGAAGTCGAGTTTCGAGGCGGTTGAAGTCGAGTTTCGAGGCGGTTGAAGTCGAGTTTCGAGGCGGTTGAAGTCGAGTTTCGAGGCGGTTGAAGTCGAGTTTCGAGGCGGTTGAAGTCGAGTTTCGAGGCGGTTGAAGTCGAGTTTCGAGGCGGTTGAAGTCGAGTTTCGAGGCGGTTGAAGTCGAGTTTCGAGGCGGTTGAAATCGAGTTTCGAGGCGGTTGAAGTCGAGTTTCGAGGTGGTTGAAGTCGAGTTTCGAGGCGGTTGAAGTCGAGTTTCGAGGCGGTTGAAGTCGAGTTTCGAGGCGGTTGAAGTCGAGTTTCGAGGCAGTTGAAGTCGAGTTTCGAGGCATCTCAAAGCTTTGGCATCGCCAGTCAGTCGGGATAGCTGTTGTGTTGAGCAGGTAGGCGGGCGAGCGTACCTTGGCGGAGCACTTCCAGAATGATGAAGTCGGCGAGGCGGCTAAAGTCCACGGATGCCGCCACGACACCTATGAGTGCAGCCTGCCTGTCTTGCAAGGGCGATGCTGCCGTCACGCTACCCTTGAAGATCGGGAACACCATGCCTGGATGATTCGAAGAGAATTTGGATCAACATTAGGTGAAATGGACGACCGAGTGCAAAGCAAAATGAAGGGGGGGGGGGGGGGGGGTAGAAACAGAGAAAATGACAAAGAAAAGGGAGAGAGGGAGGAGCACGAGGGGGAGACAAGCGGCAGCATGCTTGAGATGAGCCCAGTTCACGCCCCTGCCCGCTCACCCATGCCTGGATGGCCATTGGAGAGCACATAGGGCGTGGTGAGCATCTTCTCAGCAGTCTCCTTCACGCGGGTCAGCTGCGGGCCATACGAGGGGTTCAGGCGGCCGTCCAGGCACTGCGAGTAGCCAACAGTGAGGGCCAAGGGGAACTGGCTGTCGAACCACACGCGCACGTCCATGTACCAGTTCGCGGGCGGGCTGCGGCGCCATAGAAGGTCCACCAGCTCGCACCCCATGCGCCGCTCAAAGGTTGCCCTGGCGGGGAGATGGAGGGAGATGGGGGGAGATGGCGGGAGATGGGGGGAGATGGCGGGAGACGAGAGCATGCGACAAGGAGAGGGGGAGCACATGGGATGGGGTGGCTTTGAGATGGGCAACGCAATGCACAAACAGTTCATAGGCGCTCATCATAACCATGCGGTGCTGAAAGGTTGCCCTGCAGGCTGTGGGGGAAGCGACAGAGGGAGGGAAACCATAGAAGCAACGAGGGCTTATCACTCGTATTATGGATGTAGTATGGGTCATGTTACGCACTCACACTTGGCCAACTAAGGTTAACCTTAATAGGCTGAGCTACACCCTTGGCCATTCCTCTACACGATTAGGATTATAACTCACCAATGGGATGTCAACAAGCTGAGTGTGTTGTATCTTCCTTGTTCCGTGCGTCTACCTTAACTGCTGCCATGTTGATCCCGCTAGCCAGAACGCGCTCTCGCCTTCTCACCAAGGTATGATCAGCATGGTTGCAGTAGCTGACACCAAGGTACGTTGAACATGGTTCCTGTAATTGGATGCACGCATGCACTCTCGCCTACTCACCCGAGTGAAACGATGGCGGGGTCAGAAGCACAAAAGCACAATGCTCTGCCCAGCCCAGCTCGCCAACCAGGTGGGGAGCTGCCCAGCCCAGCTCGCCAACCAGGTGGGGAGCTGCTACTTAAGCGTGCATGAGCATGGACCCAAGCTCTCCTCCTAAATCGGATCATCAACAGGTCACGCCAAGGCGCCAGTGGTGACAAGGGCAGTCCAGGAATGGGCGCACTTGTAATTCTTCTGAAGGTTTTTTCTAAAAGCCTAAGTAGCATGAAATTGAGTCACCTTAAGAAGAGGACGCACCTGTCGGAGCCATTGACGAAGGCGATGCAGGCGATTGCATGCACCCAGGCCAGGGGCGGACGGGACATGTGCGCCTTCTGAGGCGCCTCAGAAGTGGCCTCTCTACCCGAGAGAAAGACGCACCTGTCGGAGCCGTTGACGAAGGCCGTGTAGGCAATGGCGTGCGTGCACCCAGGGGCGGACCGGACGTGTGCAAAAGACGTACCTTTTGAGGCGCCTCAGAAGTTGTCGTACCTGTCGGAGCCGTTGACAAAGGCCATGTAGGCAATGGCGTGCACCCAGGGGCGGGCAAACTGGGTGCGCACGATGTAGTTGGCGAAGCACCGCTGAGTGAGGTTGCTGTGCACCGCCCATGGGTCCTCCTGCACCCTCCCAAACACTGTCGCTAACCCTTCCACTGTCTGGTGCATGCACGGGTGGGTTGGGATGGGTGGAGTGGGATGGACGGGTGGGTTGGACTATGCGAAGTGGTTGGGTGCGCCTGTGAGTGAGGTTGCTGTGCACCGCCCATGGGTCCTCCTGTATCCTCCCAAACACCAACGCCAGCCCCTCCACTGTCTTGTGCATGCATGCACGGGTGGGTGGGTTAGGATGGGTGGAGTGGGTTGGGATGGGTGGAGTGGGATGGACGGGTGAGATGGACTATGTGGAGTGTGGTTGAGTGCGCCTCTGAGTGAGGTTGCTGTTCACCGCCCATGCGTCCCCCTGTATCCTCCCAAACACCATCGCTACCTCCTCCACTGTCTGATGCACATGGGGTGCGTGGAGACAGATGCGCAGGTTCTCCTGCAGTTTCCCCAATGCCGCCAGAACTGATATTACCTGATGCGTGCAGGCGTGGAGGGAATGGTGGGCGGGGATGGGGTAGCCAGGCTAGATAACAGGAGTTGAGATGGGTGGGTGGGGTTGAATTTGTGACCTGTGTTGCAATATACGCAACTGGTAGCCAGTCGCGTTCATACTATACGCCAACGTACGAACGTCGTACGATGGATTTCCGCCCCCACGATACGCTCAAAATACGGTGTCCCAGGCAGGGGAAAAAAAGTTCCGGGCAGCGGAAAAAGTGTCAGGGAGTGAGTGTTGGTCCCTATATTCAATGTTTCATGCAGATCTGCACTGAACTGCTGGCGGAATACTAGAATCGCGCGGAACTGGCGGCGGAATGGGTGGGGACGGATGGGTGGGGACGGATGGGTGGGGACGGATGGGTGGGGACGGATGGGTGGGGACGTATGGGTGGGGACGGATGGGTGGGGACGGATGGGTGAGGAGGGATGGGTGGGGACGGATGGGTGAGGAGGGATGGGTGTGGAGGGATGGGTGAGGATGGATGGGTGAGGATGAATGGGTGAGGTTGGATGAGTGAAGATGGATGGGTGAGGAGGCAGGCAGGGGTGGGAGCTGGAACTGACTAACGCTCAATACGCCAAACAACAAGCGCCTTGACGCTCGACGCTCGATACAAGGGGAAGGCGGGAGGAAGGGGGATGAGGGGGGGGGGGGGGGGGTAGAAGAGAAACGCTCACAAAAAAAGTCATTACAGTACTACTGTTTTAGGCGCGTCGACTTTGGGGTTCAAGCTTGTGACGCAAATGGCAGTGTACCGACTCCTGGCTCACACGGTGAAAGGCATCTTCTGCGCCTCCAAAGCTATGTTGGGTTAGACCCCTTGGCAAATAATTTAGGCAACTTAAAAAACAATCATGTAAAAACGGCGCGCGATTTCAGCGCCAAATTACATCCCGTAAAAATCCCATGCGTATAGGTGTGTTTTTTATTTACTCCGTCACTTTAACCATCTAGTCAACCCAACTTTAACGAACCCAATTTGAAGTGACAACCAGATTGCAGTCGTGGATCTCCCATTCTCAATCTCCTCAGGCAGCTAGTTCAGCCACAGAAACCTTAGAAGCTGTCCGTACTCCGTACGCTTCCCCTGGACGCAATATTAACTTACAATGTGCGTCTTCCTTGGAAGACTGATGAAACCCCCGTTTTGGCCCGTGGTAAGGCGGGTCCCCTAAGTTCGGATTCCAGACTGGTCACATTTTCCGCCCGACCAAGTAGTGGTCGTAGCGAGAACTCGAATGCAATAATCCAGTTTCGAATCATCCGCCGCTGGCCTGCCCACCAGCAAAGTCGACGTCCTTGCGGGTCCGACTTTCTGAAACCACGAGGACGGTGGCACCATGGGGGGAACTGTCAACGCCCGCCGCCCGTGGGGATCGTCTGCGCCTTCGAAAAACGTCCATTTTGAACTGGTGGTAGCGAGCGTTATAAGCAGGATCGCAACCCCGTTCTATTCCCCGCGCCGATCTGAGCTGTGCTGAGCGCAGCGGCGCTTCCTGGGCCTGGTAGCGACTCGACGCGCTCCTGCGCCCATCGGGGGACTCGCTCACACGGCTCGGCGCGCCTTTCAATGGACTTTGCACGAAGCGCGCAACGGTGGCGCGCGGTGTTGCTGCGTGAATCCCAGTGGCGTTCGTCAAACGAGGCGCGCGACGGGTGCACATATGCGGCGTCGTACACTCGACCCGGAGCGACTCTCACGCTGCGACGACTCGGCCCAGCGGAACGATTTTCGGCCCAGCGCCCGGAAAATTGTAGCTTCTACGGCCATCACAATCTTCCGGTCTGGATTTCAGCTGGTTTCCAGCCAGAGTTCAAGACTCGCGGCGGAAATCTGACTGAAAACCAGGGTCGATTTCCACCTGAACACATGGCACTAACGTGACTGGTTTTCTCGTGGATTGCAGGCCATATCATAGGATGGGTTCAGGGGTTCGGTTCAGCCTGCGCTCCAGCTGGTAACTGACCGAAATGGGTGTGGTGGTAACGCCACATTCCGCGTCGGAATCGCGCCTCGGGGCTAATAAATGTAATAATGTACACCATTCGTTTTTTGTATAGTAGTTTTTATTAAATCTATGTTCGATATAAATATTTGTGTTGTGCTGATTTCTCAATTCGTTTTACAATTGTTTTTTAATTGTTTTGCATATAATAGTTCAGCTGTTATTACTGTTGCTGTTGCTGTTATAATTGTTCTGCCCATATAATTTTTAATATCAGAACACAGAAACTAGTATTGCCCATATTACTGCTTTAAGGATCGGTGCATTTATTACCATTCTTATTAACCAGAAATTCAAACAGGCAATAGTGCAGGGTAATCCGACGCATCAATACGGACCCCGTTTTCGAACACCCACGCGTTTGTTGTCGCATCATGCGTGACGCCCAGCACATTTACAGAGTGCTCCACCCAACGTCGAACCCTGATGCACATTAGCTCGAACAACCTGCGGTTTTCACGCTGGTCCGTGCCCAGCTTGCCATCCCCTGCTGCCTCCAACAGTGGGTTCTCGAGCTGAACACAGGAACAAGGCGAAACATCATTAACATGTTGATATTGAAACCTAACCGTTGGATATAATGAAAAAACACTTACTGAAAACAAGGCGAAAGCCACCATGCGTGTCTTCCACGCTGTGACATCGACGCGGCGCCTTCGAAAAGCCTTGCTCATGGCGATCGCAAACAATTTCGTGGAGAATGGGTGCTGCGTGATCTGGTCAACATGCCATTTCAGCCCCCACTCATCTGCCAGAGCATGTGACAGACGAGGGGACAGAGAAGGGGACAGAGCATGTGATAGAGGAGGTGAGAGCACGGGAAGGGACAGCGCAGGAGGGGAGAGCATGGGAGGAGACAGAGCAGGAGGGGAGAGCAAGGGAGGGGACAGAGCAGGAGGGGAGAGCAAGGGAAGGACAGATCAGGAGGTAAAAGCACGGGATGGGACAGAGCAGGAGGGGAGAGCACGGGAGTGGTCAGAGCAGGAGGGGACAGAGCATGTGACAGAGGAGGGGACAGAGCATGTGACAGAGGAGGGGACAGAATGTGACAGAGGAGGGGACAAAATGTGACAGAGGAGGGGACAGAGCATGTGACAGAGGAGGGGACAGAGCATGTGACAGAGGAGGGGACAGAGCATGTGACAGAAGGAAGGAAGAGAGCATGTCACAGAGGAGGGGAGAGAGCATGTGACAGAGGAGGGGGGGAGAGAGCATGTGACAGAGGAGGGGGGGAGAGAGCATGTGACAGAGGAGGGGGGGAGAGAGCATGTGACAGAGGAGGGGGGGAGAGAGCAAGGGTTAGGAGCTCACCAGTCATGTTGTCCCGGACCAGTTCGGCATCGTTCTGATACACCGCCAGACGATCCAACTCCGCCGGGAGGGACATCACCTTCCCCTTGTTTTTCTCCCGCCCCAATGCAGTTAGAACCAATCGACGGAGTATTTTGCCAATTGCACACCGGGTATTGCTGCATGCTGTATAGAATGCCCCCTTTGTTGTTGGGCATTGTTGTTTCCACAGCAGTTGCAAGTGGGGCATGGTATCAGGGGACAGATAAGTAGATAACCCAGCCATCGCCTCTTCACTCGAAGGATACATCTGGATGTGAAGAGCGTCGTTCAGCCAGAAGAACTCGGTGATGACACTCCGGCACTTCACCTGCCAGGAAAAAAATGTATGAGTAGATGGAAGGGTGGGGCAACACAAAATGTACGTGGTGGAGACCACTACGGGGCATGGCATGGTGAGTGCAGAGGAGCAGCGAGACAAGGCAGGAAGGGAGAGCACTGGAGGGGACAGAGCAGGAGAGGAGCGCACAGGAAGGGACAGAGCAGGAGTGGCAAATCAACGGGGAACAGAGCTGGTGGGAAGACTGCATGAGGGAATAGAGCATGGGAGGAAAGGGCAGCAAGGGTTTACACTCACCTTCCAGTCTCCAGCATCGACGATCACCATTTCCAGAGCGATTTGTCCGGCACTCTGACTTGGAGGGCGAGGAACGCCTGTTGTTGCGTCGTTGCCCTGCGACGCAAGTCCTTGAGCAGGAACCGCGACTCCTTGAGCCCTGAGGCTCTCAAACTGTTGGAGCATCTCCTTCCTAAGCGCCGCAAACTCCGCTCGTGATACCCACTGCGTGTGCGCCACCCTGGTTGATACGGCAGCCAAAGCCGTGGGCCCTGGAGGCGGCGTCCTTACAGTAGTGGTACCCCTGGGCCTGAAAACTCCAGTAGATGCTGCTGCTGCTCCCACCCTCCCTCCAGTCGATGCCGCTGCTCCTCCCACCCTCCCTCCAGTCGATGCCGCTGCTCCTCCCACCCTCCCTCCGGTCGATGCTGCTGCTCCTCCCACCCTCCCTCCAGTCGATGCCGCTGCTCCTCCCACCCTCCCTCCAGTCGATGCCGCTGCTCCTCCCACCCTCCCTCCAGTCGATGCCGCTACTCCTCCCACCCTCCCTCCAGTCGATGCCGCTGCTCCTCCCACCCTCCCTCCAGTCGATGCTGCTGCTCCTCCCACCCTCCCTCCAGTCGATGCCGCTGCTCCTCCCACCCTCCCTCCAGTCGATGCCGCTGCTGCTCCCACCCTCCCTCCAGTCGATGCCGCTGCTGCTCCCACCCTCCCTCCAGTCGATGCCGCTGCTCCTCCCACCCTCCCTCCAGTCGATGCCGCTGCTGCTCCCACCCTCCCTCCAGTCGATGCCGCTGCTGCTCCTCCCACCCTCACCCCAGTTGATGCTGCTACTGCTCCCACCCTCCCTCCCGTTGACGCTGCTGCTGCTCCCACCTTCACCCCAGTTGATGCTGCTGCTGCTCCCACCCTCCCTCCCGTTGACGCTGCTCCTCCCACCCTCGCAACAGTCATACCCGCAGGAGCTGCTGCTGCTCCCACTTGCATCGCACTAGTAGTTGCCCGCTGGGTGACCTGTAGCTGGGGCAGCTTCCCCCCTCCCCCCCCAAGGTTGAATCGCTCGATGGTGGTTGGCGGACCCACACCAGAATTCTTCACCGCTGATTGGTGTAGGGTGAGAGCAAGATGGGACGGGTTAGGATGGGATAGCGCATGAGGGGACAGGTCAGGACGGTTCAGGGAAGCTAGTTGGGAATATTCATGGGACAACGGGAGTATTGACAGAGACGGATGGGAAAAAGCAAGGCGGGTCAGAACGAAGGGTTACAGGGCTGGAGGGCAAAAAATGGATGACTTACGCTTTTTGGGCTTAGGTTTTGTCTTTGTCTTCCCCTCCGTTGCTTCACCTTTACCCTTTGGAAGGGGTTTAGTGCTGGCCTTCTTACTCCTGTGCTTCGTGGGTGGCTTCGCCGCCGCCAATGCCCCTTTCACGGTCTGCCCTCCTTGTTTATCCTTTGCTTCTCCGCCACGCCCGTTACCGCACTGTTGCGTATCATCCGGTGCGGCCCCCAGAATCATAAACCGCCCTTTCTTCACCACTCGTGCAGCTTCTTCATCCTCATCCAGCGTCGACCTGCGGCTAAGTGCTTGTACGCGTGTCCGCCGCCCATTAGTTCTCTCCTCTGCACTAAAATTGGAGTAATCGGACAAGCCTTCGCCCACATTGTTGCCATCTGCCTGGACCCCATCCGCCTCCTCTCCTTCTGCCTGCTCGCCTTCCACCTCCTCTCCAGCCCCATCTACAGCCCCTACGCTTTCCCCCTCTTCGCCTTCCCCCTCTTCGCCTTCCCCCTCTTCGCCTTCCCCCTCTTCGCCTTCCCCCTCTTCGCCTCCCCCCTCCTCGCCTTCCCCCTCTTCGCCTTCCCCCTCCTCGCCTTCCCCCTCTTCGCCTTCCCCCTCCTCGCCTTCCCCCTCTTCGCCTTCCCCCTCCTCGCCTTCCCCCTCTTCGCCTTCCCCCTCCTCGCCTTCCCCCTCTTCGCCTTCCCCCTCTTCGCCTTCCCCCTCTTCGCCATCCCACTCCCCACCTTCCGCCCCTTCGCCTTCCGCCTCCTCGCCAACAGCTCCTACGCCTTCCGCCTCTCCGCCTTCCGCCCCTTCACCTTCCCCCTCCTCGCCTTCCCCTGTCAGTAGATCTGCACTGTGGATGCCCGATTGATCCTGGAGAGGGTTACAGGCGCATTCGCCTGGGGGGCCATGGGCGCACTGACCCGCTACTGAAACAAGCTCTTTTATCCCAATGGTCTAGTGGTTGGGATTCTGACATGGTATCAGAGCGGTCTCGGGTTCGATTCCCGGTGTATGCACATGTAGGCCGTTGCCGCTGCGCTTAGTCCTGGGCCTCCCAGTGTGGGGGGCTGTCAGTAGATCTGCACTGTGGATGCCCGATTGATCCTGGAGAGGGTTACAGGCGCGTTCGTCTGGGGGGTTATGGGCGCACTGACCCGCTACTGAAATAAGCCCTTCTATCCCAATGAGCTAGTGACTGGGATTCTTACATGGTGTCAGAGTGGTCTCGGGTTCGAATCCCGGTGTATGCACATGTAGGCCGTTGCCGCTGTGCTCAGTCCTGGGCCTCCCAGTGTGGGGGGGTGTCAGTAGATCTGCACTGTGGATGCCCGATTGATCCTACGGGGGGTTATAGGCGCGTTTTCCTGGGGGGTTATGGGCGCACTCTGACCCGCTACTTAACAAGCCCTTTTATCCCAATGGTCTAGTGGTTGGGATTCTGACATGGTATTAGAGCGGTCTCGGGTTCGATTCCCGGTGTATGCACATGTAGGCCGTTGCCGCTGTGCTTAGTCCAAGGCCTCCCAGTGTGGGGGGGTGTCAGTAGATCTGCACTGTGGATGCCCGATTGATCCTGGAGAGGGTTACAGGCGCATTCGCCTGGGGGGTTATGGGCGCACTGACCCGCTACTGAAACAAGCTCTTTTATCCCAATGGTCTAGTGGTTGGGATTCTGACATGGTATCAGAGCGGTCTCGGGTTCGATTCCCGGTGTATGCACATGTAGGCCGTTGCCGCTGCGCTTAGTCCTGGGCCTCCCAGTGTGGGGGGCTGTCAGTAGATCTGCACTGTGGATGCCCGATTGATCCTGGAGAGGGTTACAGGCGCGTTCGTCTGGGGGGTTATGGGCGCACTGACCCGCTACTGAAATAAGCCCTTCTATCCCAATGAGCTAGTGACTGGGATTCTTACATGGTGTCAGAGTGGTCTCGGGTTCGAATCCCGGTGTATGCACATGTAGGCCGTTGCCGCTGTGCTCAGTCCTGGGCCTCCCAGTGTGGGGGGGTGTCAGTAGATCTGCACTGTGGATGCCCGATTGATCCTACGGGGGGTTATAGGCGCGTTTTCCTGGGGGGTTATGGGCGCACTCTGACCCGCTACTTAACAAGCCCTTTTATCCCAATGGTCTAGTGGTTGGGATTCTGACATGGTATTAGAGCGGTCTCGGGTTCGATTCCCGGTGTATGCACATGTAGGCCGTTGCCGCTGTGCTTAGTCCAAGGCCTCCCAGTGTGGGGGGGTGTCAGTAGATCTGCACTGTGGATGCCCGATTGATCCTGGAGAGGGTTACAGGCGCATTCGCCTGGGGGGTTATGGGCGCACTGACCCGCTACTGAAACAAGCTCTTTTATCCCAATGGTCTAGTGGTTGGGATTCTGACATCCCCCTCCCCGCCTTCGTCCGCTTCGCCTTCGTCCGCTTCGCCTTCGTCCGCTTCGCCTTCGTCCGCTTCCCCTTCGTCCGCTTCGCCTTCGTCCGCGTCGCCTTCGTCCGATTCGCTTTCGTCCGCTTCGCCTTCGTCCGATTCGCCTTCGTCCGCTTCGTCTTCGTCCGATTCGCCTTCGTCCGCTTCGCCGTCGTCCGCTTCCCTTTCGTCCGCTTCCCCTTCGTCCGCTTCCCCTTCGTCCGCTTCGCCTCCGTCCGCTTCGCCTTTGTCCGCTTCACCAACCACCTTCTCGCCCTACGTCTCGTCGCGATATGAACCGTCATCATTCGCCACACCAAACACCGCCTGTTCACCGTGCGCCACATTATCGACCGCATAGCCGTTCGGATCGGCGGACGTTTCCGTACCGTCGTCATTCTCACCTAGAATGTCCGCGCTGAAGCCATCTGGGAGCTTGCGCCGTTCCTCGGTGGCGCATTGTGCTTTCTTACCACCTCTCTTTCGACGCCCACGGCCTTTTTTTGCGTTCGCCTGCTCTCCCGCCTGCTCACCCTTACGGCCTTGGGAGATGGTTGGCTGCGACATTGCTGAGATGCAAAGGGCTGTAAGTGAAGGCGTTTGTTAGTAGTCAAAGTTTTGAGCAAGTACTACAAGCTCGAACCAAAACATCGCCTATAAACAGATCATGGTGCACCGCTCTTCGCACCTCGACGCTTGGTAGCCAGGTATCGGAGTAGCCGTCGAACAAGATTCGTGCGCTACGCTCGTATCGTGCCCAGCGTGACAGCACCCCGACCACCACGGTTCGTGTGAGAATAGTAGAACAGGAATGAAATGACTAAGTGAACGTTTGGTACAAATACAAACCCTAGAGAGCTGTACCCCATATGTGCTACCCCACTATAGCCTACAACAGCTATGTCATATATATCTGACACACCCCCATAGGCAAAGTGGGGGAGAACAAGGGGTCACAAGACCAGTCAAGCAAAGTAAAACAAAGCAAGCTCAGGGTGGATCACAAAGTCACCACACAGTCCGAGCACAAGAGCAGGGCCAGAGGCCAGTTCACATGCAGGAGTACAGACATATATATATAAAACTAGACAAGCAAGAGCAGGTATATATGTCACAGTACAAGTAAAGTCAAGAGGAGAGCAAGTGAGGCAAGACAGGCACAAGACCCAGCTGGGTGCAGAAGCGCTGATGGTCACAAGGCGCGAGTGCCTTGGTGAACACATCAGCAGTGTTGGCCTCAGAGGCCACGTAAGCAAGCCGCAACTGTCCACGCTGCTGTAGCTGACGAGCAAGGAAGTAACGAAGAGCAATGTGCTTCGTTCTGTGCTCCAGACGCTGCTCTCGACACAAGGCCAGCATGGCCTTGTTGTCTACGTACAGATTTGGAGGAGAACGAGGCGGCTCTCCAAGGTCAGTCAGCAGGTAGGTGAGCCAGCGAAGCTCCTGTGCAGCCATGGCCCCGGCGTAGATCTCAGCCTCACAACTGGAGCTGAGAACCGAAGACGAACGAGTAGCCCGCCACGAGACAGAGCCGGAACCAAGACTGAAGGTGTAACCCTGTGACGACCGTTGCGTAGCTTGGTCGTCAGCCCAAGAAGCGTCAGCGTGGCCTGTAAGGACCACTGGACTCCGCCCTCCAAGCACTAGCCCCATGCCCGACGTACTGCACAGGTAGCGCAATACCCTCTTCGCTGCAGCCATGTGCTCTAGTCGGTGTCTCCCAGGAGCAACATAGCGTGCAAGAATGCTCAGTGGGTATGCAAGGTCAGGTCGTGTGCAGGTCATCAGGTACATGAGGCAGCCAACAAGCTCTGGGTACGGGCCACTCGACTCTAAGGACTCATCCGAAGGCAGAGCTGAGAGCGAGTGACGAGTAGACAGAGGAGTGGCCTGAGGCGAGGAGTACGTGAAGCCGAAGCGCTGAAGGACCTGCTGCACCATGTGTGACTGAGTCAAGGTAATGGTGCGGCGTGCTCTGTCCCGAGTGATCTGCAAGCCAAGGTAGCTGCGCAGTTCACCCAGGTCTGTGCACGTGTGTCTCTTCAGCAGCTCGGACTTCACGTAGGCGAGTCCAGCAGTGTCCGCTGTGGCAAAGACCAAGTCGTCGACGTACACGAGGATGTAGAACGGCGGCAGTGAAGTGTCGGTGCCCAGAAACAGCGACGGGTCAGCAGTAGAAGGAGCAAACCCAAGAGCCGCAAGCGTAGTCCTCAGTGTGTCGTGCCACTCACGCGGTGCCTGGCGGAGACCGTAGACTGGCCGTCGAAGGCTCCACTGGGTGCCAGGAGGAAAAGTCCCAGTGAAGCCAGGTGGACGGCGCAGCCAGATCTCCTCGTGCAGGCTACCCTGCAGGAACGCAGTGCTGAAGTCGAGAGAGTGAAGCTCGTAGTCGCGCTGAGCGGCTATGTGCAGCAGCACCCGAAGAGTGGTCATCTTCGGGGTGGGAGAGAAGGTCTGAAAGTAGTCAACTCCCTGCCGCTGACTGAAGCCACGAGCAACGTACCGCGCCTTGAAGACAGGTGGAGAGCCCGGCGGCCGCTTCACCCTGAAGATCCACATGCCACTGACGATGTTCGCCCCAGGAGGGGGAACTGCGTCAACGTAGGTGCCTGTGGACTTCCAGGAAGCCATCTCTGCATCCATAGCTGCCTGCCACTGAGAGGAGTAGGGACCCTCTACGGCCTCCGCGTAAGAGCGCGGAGTCGGGATGTCTAGTGCATCGGGGTCTCCCTCAGGAGCAAGTCGTACAGACGCGAGATGAGGTGAAGCAGTCGCCAGACACTCTAACTCCTCCTGCCTGTCCTCTAGGACGTCCGTGCCAAGGGCACACTCACCCCCGACGGACGGAGGACAGACAGACGCAGACTCAGCAACAAGACTAGCAGCGTAGTCTAGACGACAGCGAGCAGCAAAGTCAACGAGCTCAGCGACAAGAGCAGACGCAGCAGTGGACTCAAAAGAGGGGTCAGTGACGACAGTAGCTAGCAGACGCGTGACAGTAGGACTGGCAGCACGAAGGGAGTCCGACTCAGGGTCGGCAAGCGCAGGAAGAGAGGACTCAGAAGGAGAAGGCAAAGGGGCACGCAGAGGAGCAGTGGACGGACGCAGAGACATCCGGTGCGTGCCAGGGACAGGAGGAGGACGCTGACGCGAACCGCGACCACTAGCGCGAGCAGGACGAACAGGCGACGCGGGACGAGACGCAGGCTCACGACGCTCAGCAAGACCTCCAGTAGGACCAGTGTAAGGAGAGGGAGCAGGCAGTGGAGAGGAAGGCTCCAACAGTGACTGCGACTGTACAGGCTGTGGACACTCTACCGGAGGAGAAAGACCAAGAACCTGCTGCAGGAGCGGAACGAAGTACGGCCGAGGCCGCGCGGCAGCTCCAGACACAGCAGGGACAGCACCAGCACCCCCAGCGACAGCACCAGCGCCACCAACACCTCCAGCGGCAGGACCTCCAGCAGCACCAGCAGCAGAACCACCGCCAGGACAGACAGCAGTAGTCTCAGCACCAACACCCTCAGCAGCTCCAGCGCCACTAGGACCCGCAGGCCCAGCAGCTCCGGGACCGGCAGCACCAGCACCCTCGATGGTCGAAGAAGCTCCAGCTCCAGCAGCACGCCTCCAGCGGCGAGCAAACCACTCGCGCAGCTCCTGTGGAGAGAGGGGCTCCCGGCGAGACGCAGCAGCAGGAGAAACCCCAGGCTCAGCAGCTCCAGACGCAGCACCCCCAGGCTCAGCAGCTCCAGACTCAGCACCCCCAGGCTCAGCAGCTCCAGACGCAGCACCCCCAGGCTCAGCAGCTCCCGACCCTGCACCCCCAGACCCAGCACCACCTAGCTCAGCAGCTCTAGGCACAGCACCCCCCGGCTCAGCACCCCCAGGCTCAGCACCCTCCGCAGTAGCACCCCCAGGCCCAGCACCCCCAGGCTCAGCACCCCCAGTAGCAGCACCTCCAGGCTCGGCACCCCCGCGCACAGCACCCCCAGGCTCAGCACCCGCAGCAGCACCAGAGTCACCAGTAACCTCGACCGGGTCAACTCCGTCTACCTGGGACACACCTGAGGGGGCAGGAACCTGAGGGGGGAGGGGGTCTACCGGGGGGGGAACCGGCACAAGGAAGTCCGGCGGAGGGGGGAGGGAAGGAGTGCGGTAGGGGAAGAGGCGGTAGAAGGGGACTGACTCGTCGAACGTGACGTCCTGGGAGGACAGAACACGACGAGAGGAGGGGTGGTAAAACTGCCACCCTGGAGCGTCTGTGGGGAAGCCAAGGAAGACACAGGGAGCAGCACGAGGGGACAGCTTGTCCGCAGACAAGTCGCGGACAAACGCCCGAGATCCCCAGACACGGAACGCCGACGCATCGCCAACCTTCCCCGTCCACAGCAAGACTGGGGACATCGCTGGCCGAGAGACCCGGGGGTGAAGGTTGAGCTGATGCGCCGCGTACCTCACCGCAAACGGCCACAGAAAATGGGGGGCAGCCGCATGCATCATGGACGTACGAGCGACATCCATGACCATGCCAATGCGGCGCTCAGCAATCCCATTTTGCTGTGGAGAGTCCGGAAGCGTGAAGGTCTGGCGGATCCCCCGTGCACGACAGTAGTCTCGCAGAAGGCGCGAGGAGAACTCTCCGCCTCTGTCCGAGTGCAGACGCAGAACAGGAAAGTCCGAGCCGAAGCTCTTCCTGAGCTGGAGACGAGCCTCGCGGATCCAGTCGATCAGCACCTCGGTGACAGCACCTTTGCTGCGCAAGGGGAGGACTGTGGTGTAACGCGAGTAGTCGTCAACCACCAACAGAAAGTAGCGCTCGTAACCCTGCCCACGGACGGGGGCTGGGCCCCACACGTCCATGTGAAGCGTCTGCGGAGGAGCCTCTGTCGGGGGGAACTGGGAGGAGTGAGGAGCAGCCCGGAGGCGCCCCTCGACACAGGGGACACAGGAAGGTCCTGGCCCGGAGGGAAGGGGAGGGAGAGACTGGGGAAGACCAGAGACAAGGACACGGGAAGCCATGCTCCGAAGACGGGGCAAGGAGGGGTGGCCAAGATGGTGGTGCCACAGGAGAGTCTCGTGAGACAGGAGGCGACAAGAACAGGGGGCAGACTCAGGACCTGACCGGGACGCAGCAGCAAGCACCTGACCTGACGCAGCTACCTGACCAGACTCAGGGACAGGAGGAGACGTAGTGGTCAGGGTGTAGAGGCTCGACCCCGGCCGACGCGAGAACGTGGCCAGGTGTCGTCCTGTGCGTGCGTCCGTGCAGTGGGTCACCCGCTGACTCGCAGGAGTGAACTGGTGAACCCCCGTATCCTGCAGGTCCGCACCACTCACCAAGTTCGTAGAGAATGAGGGAAGGTACAGACCAGACAGGGTGCCCGAAGGGGCAGCTGGA